AAAAAGTCACAGAATGTTGTGTTGCCAGGCTTTCCTTGACGTTGGACGGGCTCTGCATGGCGGTGGCAGCAGCCTAGGGCCCTGCCCTGCCGAGTAGTTCTCTGCGGGCCCGGACTGGCTCCGAAACTTCGGGAGTCTCCATTGTGTCTCCGGCCACCTGGCGGGGTCACCTGATGGTCACTAGGGAGAGGCTGTCGTCAGGGGAGGTAAGGGGTGCCTGGAGGACAGGGGATCTCTGTGGATAATCTTCTTGTTGGTTGTAAGTGATTGATCATCGCCTCTTGATGTGCCTTTCTCCAGGGAGACCAGCAGTGTGACATTTTATATCTCTCCTAAATGGCTGAATTCTAAACGGAGATTTCACCCCTCTCCGTCTTTTGCTGGGGTGTTTTTTTCCCCTCCCTGGGGTTGGGGTCGATGAGAATGTGTATTTTGTAACATTTTTCTGAGGTGGCTAAGTTCTGGATTCTCTTTGTGTAAGACAAGTAAGTGGGCAGGCGTGATCCCTCTACTCTCCTTCCTTCCTTCTCCCGGCAGTCTTGGTGATGGAGCCCGGGAAGCCCCGGCCCAACAGATCGCCGTGAGTGCGCGGGCAGCGGGCCTCTGGCTGCCCTGTTGCTTCGCTGGCTACAGTGAGGATCTGCCCTGTGGGAGCTTCTGCCCACAGGGGCTCAAGCAAGGGGGGTGGGGGGAAGAAAACGAGTCTTGCGATTTTGTATGAAGATCTAAGGGTCCCTTGTTAGGACGGTGACCTAATTCCTAAATAATACAACAGGTTACGGTTTTCTGTTTCGGTTTTCTTTGTGGCATTGCTGAGGGCTACCTGGTGTTCCGGTCCTGATGTGGCAGACCTCTTCCCCCACCTAAGTAAGGACCCAAAGGGGAGAGGAAGCCACTCCGTAAGCCATTCACTCAGCTGGCTGGCCGGCCTAGAGACAGAAGACTCTCTCCTCCGCCTAGCCCAGCCTCGGCAGGTTGCAGTATGCGGGCGCGGGTCTGACGGGCTCGGAGGTCAGCCCCACGGGGACTGCCCTTTGAGTTGGACCGGGATGGTTGGCGAGCAGCAGAGTCGGAGAATCAACTCAATGAAGAAGTCTGAGGACTCCTCTTGCACCTCCAGGGCCCTGGAGAGAGCTGCTAAATTCTAATGTCCAGGTTTTAGCAAACTTGACATTCCTGTTCCGAGCCAAATTCTCAGGTTGGGAAAAGACTCGCAAATCCTACATCCTGAATCATTTTCTGCTTTGAATCCACGCACAGAGACCTTACTTAATCAGTAATAACTTTATTTCCAAATTCACTTTTACAGCAACAATCAGTGTAAATCATTTGTTAAAACACACAATACACCATAGGGACATTCACAGACAGGAAGCTAAGCTAAGATGGTTTCATGTCCCTCCCCCCACCCTCAAAATTACCGAAGAAGTCGTGGGACTTGCAAGTGCCAGAAGTTGTCCTGCCCAACACTGCAAATTCACGGGGCGAAGTCCATTAGGAGGGGAGACTCTGGGCCGGTGCCCAGGGTAACCCTTTTCATAGCTGAAGAGAAACCGGAAGTCTTGAAGCCTCAGACCCATAGATGGAACAAGCTGACCACCTCCACCCTCGTCCCCACCTGTTGGCTTTAACTTGGGGACAGATAAAAGACGGTGAAGGAGGAGCTCTTGGCAGCTGCCGGAGGACAGGCTGCGTGTCCGGAGCTGGTGGGAAAGGTGACACGGAGGGGCCAGCGCCTTAGATGGAAGGGTGCCAGGGCCTGTGGGAGGCAGGGCTGCGGGCCTGGGGGTCCCCGAGAGAGGGCAGCTGTACGTCCAGGCTCCTGCACGAGCCTCGCTGCCGGCACCGGGCTGGGCGGGGGACAGGCGAGCCGGCAGCCTGCTGCCCTGGGGAACTCTGTCCGTGGACAGGCGAGACCCCAGGGACCTCTAGCAAACGGCTGATCTGAAGAAAAGGGTTACGAGGCGGTAGAACTGCTGCCCTCCAAGACTTCCCTCTGCCCGTGGTAACTATCTTACAGGGTCCTCCCCCCTCCCCCCAGAAGCACGACAAGCAAACAGGATACAGTCTCCGCATTGAAGTCAAGTTAAATGGAACTACTGATAAGTGAGTGGAGGGCTCGAAGGGACCAGGCATACAGCACAGCCTGTCTGGGACGCCCGAGGGACACTGACTGTGGAGGTGGGGGGGATGGGGGTGGCAGAGTGCCCAGCCCTCGGGGGCTGCGGGGGGGGGGGATTGTCCTCATTCAGGGTCACGAGCCAGCATCCCTTTGCAGTCCCCCTGGCAGCACTGACCCTCCCACCCTAAACCATGATCTCTAGGCCGCCCCCAGTAGACCGGCCCACCGGGCAGATCCCAGACCCCTCCGAGCAAGGCCCTCAGAATAAGGTCTGGAAGAGCAGGGCTCAGCAACTGCAGAAAGCGGCAGCCCGAGTCCCTGGCGGTGAGGAGGGGCCGCGTGTCCAAGAGCTACCAACTCTGAACCCCATTTCCCTTCTCTGCCTCAGGACCCTTCTAAGGACAGCTGGGGCTCAAAGCGGTGGAGAGCCTCACGGTGGCCGGTTCTGGGCCCAGATGATTCCTTGCACGGAAACCCCGGCTGCAGACGAAGCGCCCGGCCCTGGAGAGGCGGCCCTGGACTCCCAGCGGCCCCCAGGGTTGCCGGAGCCGGGCCCGAGGTTGCCGAATTTCTTTACAGCGATTCTCTACAAAGGCGGTTCCCTTTTCCCCGTGGGGGCAGACGGGGCCCCGACCGCGGCTTCCGGCCGCGTGGCTCCCGACTCGTCAGCGCCCTGCGGTCGGGCAGCTCAGGCTCCCGGGGCTCCTCCGGCGCAGGCCGTCCGCGCAGGCGCGGGGACAGCTTGCGGTGGGACCCCAGGCTGAGAGGGGCTGCGGGCCTCTCCCCTGCTGGCACTGGATTCCGAGACCCTCTCTCAGGGTTGCTGTGACCGGAGAGGGCCATCTTCCCGCGGCCAAGCAGGCCGGCCACGCGCTCCGCCCCGACAGAGGGAAGCCCCGGCGGGGCCGCGAGGGGGCGCCGTAGCTCCCGGCCTTCCTCGGAGCTGAGGGCCCTCGGATGTCACAATCTGGTCTCGGGTGGGTCCCAGGTGCTGTGAAAGCCTTGCCGATCCGAAGGCCCCAGCAGGGTGGAGCCACGCTGGCCCCCTGGAGCCGAGCCCCAGTGTGGGGGTGGGGTGGGGGGGTGGGGGGGAGACATCTAGGACCCCCACGGGGGTGGGTTAGAAACCTCTTCACAAGCATTTCCAGATACATGCGTCCTTTTTTTTTTTTTTCCTTTTCATTATCATAGTCTGGTGAATCCAAGCATAAACAGATCCGACTACAAGGCGACAGGGTGCAGACGGGGAGGGAAAGGCGACGTCTATGTATATGTCAGCTGCTGCGGCAGGACAGACGGCACTGCTTCCAGCTGGGACGGGGCGACGAACCGTTTCCGGGGGGGGTGCTCCCCTTCCGGGGGGTCCGCATGGTGCGGGGGGAGGTCAGGCGGTGGCGGGGCTCTCTCAGAGGCTGGCGGTCACAAGCTTGGGCGCAAGTGGGGGGACGTGGGGCGGGGGTGGGGGCAGTGTGGTCCTGCCCTGGGGGCCTCGCCTGCCTGTCCTGGTGCCACCTCTGGAACCGGGACAGCCAACCTAGCTGCCAGCTCAGCTCAGGAAGGGGGCCAGGCCCTCTGGGAGGAAAAGGCTCTCCGAGTAAACAAGGCAAAAACATCCCGGGTCATCGCTGAGCCCACCCTGGCCCACGTCTGTGAGGAGAGGCGGGGGGTAAGGAACTGAGGAAGGTCATCAGCTTCGTGGGGGCCGCACCAGCTGGTGAGTAGAACTTAAGCCAAGAGCCTGAGGTCTCACCGTGTGCCCGGGCTTCGCCTTCACTCGCTCACACCCCGTAGAGGAGAGCAGGTGCCTCCCGCATCCAGTGTCTGAGAAGGGGCGTGGTGAGGCTGGGGACTCGGGACAGCGTGACATAATGGGGACAGGCAGTGACTGGGCTCCGCACAGCAGACACACGGGCATGGCGGTGGGTGGGGGGAGACAGGTGGCTGCAGCGGCCGTGGGAGGGGCAGGAGGCTCAGGACCCACCTGCCGGAGTCCCGCACGCTCCCGAGACGCCCGAGGCCCAGGCTTGGGAACAGGCGGATGCCCCCAAGAGGCACGAGTCCTTACAAAGAGAACTGGTTAGCCCTAAAGTCCCAGGTCGGTGAGGTGGCCAAAACCGTGGCTGCAGTTCCAACCTTCAGAACTCAATAAAACGGGGTTTCCGTGGGGCCGAGGGAAGCCCCTCAGCTCAGGACCCCCACCCTGCAGGGAGGGAGAAAGAGGCCAGCACTGGGGACATCAAGGTCAGGCTTCTCTGAGGAAGTGATCGCAGGGTGCCACCCTCCCGCCAACCGTCCCTTCACGGTACGGGAGGGACCGAAGCCCTTCTCCGGAGGGTGGCACCCTGGCCCGCAGCGGACCCCGGGCCACCAAGCACAGGAGGCCACTTGGTCCAAGTTTGCTGCGGGCGGCAGGGGCAGTTGGCCCTTCCTGCTGCCCTTCCAGGAGGAGGACAGCGGCTCCTCCCCACCCAGCACCTCTCACCCCCTCCCACCTCTCCCTTCTGCCCTCTGCCCCCCCACCCCCTGGCCCAGCACGCTGCTGGTGTCTCCT